TAGAAAGAGAAATAGAAAAAGTGACTGCAAAGAGGCAAACTCCTTTCCCAAGGATCTCTCCTCCTTCGCAGGGAGATGCTGCCCCCCAGAGGTAAAGGTGTTCACAGGTCACAAGGCCCCTGGGAGAAAATGAGTACTCTCCTTACTGAAATCATTTTCATCTTTCTTTTCCCTGTCTGACCTACTGTCTAATTACTAATACCTTTATTAACTAGCTGCGATGTTTTTTTTCTATGTGAAATTCCATATACCCAGGAGGATGTAGGAACCTAAAAGGGACTCTAGCCTCTCTGAAGCCTTTAGCAGTAAAAGCTTTCTCTTCCTGGGGGCCTGGTGTAGAATGACAAATGACAGCGGCCTCCCTTGGAGAGACCTTCGAATTATATAGGATAACTCACCCATGAAGAAAATTAGAAAATAAAGTCAAGCTAAGTATCTCAAATTTAATAGGGCTCCTATAATTGGTTTCAAAAGATCACTAAGACTTTGTATGAATCAAAGAGAAAGAATCAGGAAGCTTCTCAAGAAAAGTGTGACATTAGGGCTGAAGAAAAATCCTCCAGGCTGGGAGAGAAGAAGATCAGTGCTCTGCTGTGTCCTGGGTGGTAGGGGCCCAGCGACAAAACTACATTCCCTGGGATCATAGAAATGCATCAAGGAGCTTAAAGTTAGTCTTCAGAAGACTGAAACGTAAAAGGGTTTTTTTTTCTAAGAATAGGTGACTTCCAGGTAAAAAAAAGTTTAAGTAGTTTAGATGACAGTTAAAACTATATCTGTCTAAAACAAAATTGAAAGCATATACATTATGACATAATACTAACAAAATTATTAACAAACAATTAAACAGTATGTCTATTGTTTTTATGACCGGGTATCCCTCTTAATTATAAAAATAAAATAGAGAAAGGCAGCCCTGCTGGTGTGGCTAAGTGGTTGAATGTCGACCTATGAATCAGGAGGTCACAGGTTCAATTCCGATTTGGGGCATATGCCAAGGCTGCAGGTTTGGTGCCCAGGGTGGGGCATGTAGAAGGCAGCCAAT